AATACACACAATAAATATCTATTTTTATAATTAAAATCTTAATAAATAAATTTTTAAACATATTAAGTATCACCTATTTATGCAACATTAAATGCGCAGTTGAGTTTATCAAGTATTTTAGTTCAATTAAAACGTTAAGTTCGAGTATTTAAAAATATAATCGACTTCCATTCAATATATTATTAAACTTAAAATAATTTTTAAAATAATTTTTTAAAATTAATAAAAATATTTTTAATAAAAAATAAAATATCTTAAAAATAGATCATAAAAAAATAATTATATTTATAGAATACTTAGAAATGAGGTTTGAAAGAAGGAAAAAAATATCTTTTAAGTTATGAAAGTTTTAAAAACAATTATATAATTACTAATATATATATTTTAAAAGGAAAGTAAGGTGATGTCTCTGATAGCCCACTTTTACAAGTGGTGCATCAATAATCACCATAGATATAATATAAAAAATATTGAATGGTTGAGATTATCATTTAATGAGTAATAGTGTATTATACATCTTCACACACAAGATCAAAATTTCCGAATTTTTTACTGAAATTATTTTTTTTTAAATTACAAAAAAAAACGTGTTACGATGCACTGACGCAACTGCTTTTCACTTTTGGAACGGGCCGTTCTGAAATCAGAACGGGACGGGCCGTTCCGTATGAAAAAATAACACATGAATATTGGATCAGAACGACCAGTTCTAGATGAAAAACAAACACATGACGAATGGATCAGAACGGCCCGTTCCGAAATCAGAACGGCCCGTTCCAAATTCAAAAATAACACATGACTAATTAAACCAGAACGGGCCGTTCTGAATTCGGAACGGGCCGTTCTAACTACAAATTTGTCATACGAATTTTTTTAAGCAAAATAATTTTTTTTTCATTCTACTAAATTACATCTAAACCCTAAACCCTAAACCCAAAAAGTCTTATACTAAGGCCCATAATATAAGACCAAACAATATAAACTCCTATACTACAAAAAATATGAGAAAGGTGGTCATCCATGTAAGGCCCGAGTAAAGAAAATCCTAGGCCCACCAAACTCATTGTGCTCACTAAGCTCAGAAACAATCAAAAGCCTAAAGGCCCATGAAGTCCAAAACTAGGCCCAATAAACTTAAAACCCAAAAAGTCTTATACTAAGGCCCATAATACAAGACCAAACAATATAAATTTCTATACTACCAAATACTCCCTCTGTTTTTTTTTATAGTCGTTTAAGGTTTTGCACGGGATTTAAGGAAATCATTGATATTTTAGTTTTCAAAAATGTTTATTACTTACTTTCTAATTTTACCCTTAAATTCTCCCCCAGAGCAACAACTGCAGAACAGCGTCATCAGTGAGAACACACTCTAAAAGCCACTAACAGAAGTGCCATTTTCAACGAAAGGCAAAAGTTACCCTAGGATGATCAATGAAGGTTGAGCCAAACTCATAGTGAGCAGTGGGAATCTTAATGGTCTCAGTGGACTGAGAAGGAATCTCAGTAGGTCCCATCAACACGCTGATCAGACAACACCAACAACAACAAATAAATAAATGAACGAACTTTCACAATTGAATTTCATAAATAAATTTTAAAAAATAAAGGTACCTGTGATTGAGAGAGAACTTCTGATTGAGCATCTTGGTGAAATCAAAACGCATGCCCTCGAAAAGATCCGGCTTCAAAGACACTACCCAAAAAAAAATAAAAATAAAAGTAGGAGCTGAAAATGTTTACGAAATGGAAGCGAAACACGAAGATTGAAATCGAGATTGGGAGTGAGATTGAGATGACTGACTCATGGCCTCGCGGTGGAGCTCTTCGAAGGGAATTGGACATGGGAGATTGAAGTAATCGACCTTGGCGTCGACGGCGGGAGCGGGAGCGGGAGCGGGAGGAGGAGGCACGGTGGTGGCCATTGATGAACGAGCGAGAGAAGAGGAACGCAAATCTGAAGAGTGAGAAGTTCTAAAACCCTCTCAACAACCTTCCACCACTGCTAAAACCCTAATTCTCTTTTCCTTTTCTGTCTCACTCAGCTAAGCTTATACAACTTCACCCTCACGCTTAAACCCGACCCGACCCGATCCGTTTTCGTCGCAGTACGGAACGGGTTTCTTACGAATGCACTATTCGCCTTTACCCGAATCATACCCAAATAGTGGTGCTAATTAATTAGAGAACTTCCACAAATTCACATCTATTCCTTACTTTCTCATTTAAATTTAAAATATTTATTTTAGATGCTGTTACTCTATTCACTTTTTTTTTGTTACGATCACAATAAGTCAAAGCTTATCAATAATAAAATGAATTATATTACCGGTATACATAAATTGAAAAGTATTAAACATAGTATGTTTCTTGTTCAAATATAATTACATAAAGATACATTAAATTAACAACTTTTAACATTATAAAAAAAATCAAGACAACATCTAGCCATAGGTCTAGCATGACATATTTTTTATTATTAAGACATTAACATCCATCAATTCTAAAACATATCCAACATATTAAGTAACTCAAAATCAAATTCATGATCAATGCTCAAAAGTAAAATATGTAAATTGTCCCAAAATTAATCTTGCTTCAAATATAAAAACATAGGTTCAAATTCATAAGTTCATCATGTCTAAAAAAAAAAATAATGTCAAACTCCATGAATATTACTATCTAATGAAGATCCTCCTTGTAGTGTTGGCATGTCGTGTCCACTCCCTTCATCCTATAAAATACAAATTGTTTAATGTTATCCTTATTAATAAAATATGCATAAAATATTAAACTTCAATTAAGTAGTAATATAATTTAATTTAGTGCAAAATATAAAACACTAACAGAAGTGCCATTTTCAACGAAAGGCAAAAGTTACCCTAGGATGATCAATGAAGGTTGAGCCAAACTCATAGTGAGCAGTGGGAATCTTAATGGTCTCAGTGGACTGAGAAGGAATCTCAGTAGGTCCCATCAACACGCTGATCAGACACTATAAAGTCAAATTCTGAAACACAAATGCGCGCCCAGCGCATTAAGTGCACGCCCGGCGCAATTCTCAACCAGAGACCTGTAAATTCTATTGCGCCCAGCGCTGTCCTCATCGCGCCCAGCGCGATTCACCCAGAAACTTCCCATTTCAAGTCGCGCCCAGCGCGAAGAACTGCGCCCGACGCGAATTCAAACGGGAACTCTCCCCAGTTCGAAAAATTTCATCAAACCTGCACAAATCAACTTCCCAGGCACATGCAATCGGTTCAAATTATCACATTTCCATCCAAGAACCCAAAAATACTACCTTTTTCAACATGCAACAACAAATCAAGGATTTCACCAAATTTTCTCAAAAACCCCAAAACCCCCAAAAACAAGTTCTCATTCAACACAACCACGAATCAACCATCAATAAGCATCTAGTGAGTTTCTAGAACTCATCCACAGCCAAAAACAGCGACAAAAGAAAGGAATTTACTAGCTTCCCTTACCTCGGTTCAACGGCTCCGAGCTTCGGGAAGGAAGACGACAATGAAGGAGGAGGAGAAGTAAAGGGGAGAATGAAAGACTTGAGAAGGCTCCGCACAGCTTCAGAAACAATCACCTACTCCGCACCTATGAATCAATTCGGCCACCACCAAGAAAGGATCAACAAGAGATAGTGAGAAAAGAAAGAGTAAGTGAGTTTAGTGAGAGTTGAGAAGGAGAAGAAGAGAAGGAAGGCACGGGTCTCACACCCTTTTTTTTTTTTTTTTGCATTTTTTAGACTGTTGAACTACTCCATTAAATAGTTGTCCCTTTTTTTGTTTTTTTATAGTATTTTGTTGGGAACATATTGCTCTTATAAATGCACATTAACTTTATATGAGTAGTTGGAGAAAAATTAGGTAGACATTAAAAATAAATACACACATTGTTCAGGAAACATGTATTAATTATCAAGGGTAAAAATGGAAGAAAAAAATTAATAACTCATTGATTTTAGTAATATGACAATGAAAAAAAAATAACAAACTCTGACAAAACGACTATGAAAAAAAAATAGAGGGAGTATATGAGAAAGATGGTCATCCATGTAAAACCTAAGTAAAGAGAACCCTAGGCCCACCAAACCCATTAGGCTCACTAAGCTTTGAAGCAATCAAAAGCCTAAAGGCTCATGAAGCCCAAAACTAGGCCCAATAAACTTAAAACCAGAAAATTCTTATTCTAAGGCCCATAATACAAGACCAAACAATATAAACTACTATACTATCAAAAATATGAGAAAGGTGGTCATCCATGTAAATCCCAAGTTAAGAGAACCCTAGGCCCACCAAACCCATTGTACTCACTAAGCTCATAAGCAATCAAAAGCCCAAAGGCCCATGAAGTCCAAAACTAGGCCCAATAAGCTTAAAACCCAAAAAGTCTTATATTAAGACCTATAATACAAGACCAAACAATATAAACTCCTATAATACCAAAAATATGAGAAACGTGGTCATCCATGTAAAGCCCAAGTAAAGAGAACCCTAGGCCCACCAAACCCATTGGGCTCACTGAGCTCTGAAGCAATCAAAAGCTCAAAGGCCCATGAAGCCCAAAACTAGGCCCAATAAGCTTAAAACCCAAAAAGTCTTATACTAAGGCCCATAATACAAGACCAAACAATATAAACTCCTATACTACCAAATATATGAGAAAGGTGGTCATCTATGTAAAGCTCAAGTAAAAAGAACCCTAGGCCCACCAAATCCATTGGGCTCACTAAGCTCATAAGCAATCAAAAGGCCAAAGGCCCATGAAGCCCAAAACTAGGCCCAATAAGCTTAAAACCTAAAAAGTCTTATACTAAGCCCATAATACAAGACTAAACAATATAAACTCCTATACTACCAAATATATGAGAAAGGTGGTCATCCATGTAAAACCCAAGTAAAGAGAACCATAGGCCCACCAAACCCATTGGGTTTACTAAGCTCAGAAGCAATCAAAAGCCCAAAGGCCCATGAAGCCTAAAACTATGCCCAATAAGCTTAAAACCAAAAAAGTCTTATACTAAGGCCCATAATACAAGACCAAACAATATAAACTCCTATACTACCAAATATATGAGAAAGATAGACATCCATGTAAAGCCCAAGTAAAGAAAACCCTAGGCCCACCAAACCCATTAGGCTTACTAAGCTTTGAAGCAATAAAAAACCTAAAGGCCCGTGAAGCCCAAAACTAGGTCCAATAAACTTAAAACCCAAAAAGTCTTATACTAAGGTCCATAATACAAGACCAAATAATATAAACTCCTATACTACCAAAATATGAAAAAGGTGGTCATCCATGTTAAGCCTAAGTAAAGAGAACCCTAGGCCAACCAAACCCATTGGGCTCACTAAGCTCAGAAGCAGTCAAAAGTCCGAAGGCCCATGAAGTCCAAAACTAGGCCCAATAAGCTTAAAACCCAAAAAGTCTTATACTAAGGCCCATAATACAAGACCAAACAATATAAACTCCTATACTACCAAATATATGAGAAAGATGGTCATCCATATAAAGCCCAAGTAAAGAGAACCCTAGGCCCACCAAACCCATGGGGCTCACTAAGCTTAGAAGCAGTCAAAAGCCCAAAGGCCCATGAAGTCCAAAACTAGGCTGAATAAGCTTAAAACCCAAAAATTCTTATACTAAGGCCCATAATACAAGACCAAACAATATAAACTCCCATACTACCAAATATATGATAAAGGTGGTCATGCATGTCAAGCCTAAGTAAAGAGAACCCTAGGCCCACCAAACCCATTGGGCTCACTGAGCTCAGAAGCAATCAAAAGCCCAAAGGCCCATGAAGCCCAAAACTAGGCCCAATAAGCTTATAACCCAAAAAGTTTGATACTAAAGCCCACAATACAAGACCAAACAATATAAACTTCTATACTATCAAAAATATGAGAAAGGTGGTCATCCATGTAAAGCCCAAGTAAAGAGAACCCTAGACCCACTAAACCCATTGGGCTCACTAAGCTCAGAAGCTATCAAAAGTCCAAAGGCCCATGAAGCCCAAAGGCCCATGAAGCCCAAAGGCCCAATAATATTTGTTAACATAATTTTTTAAGAGGAAAATGTCGAGATGTAAAACTAAAACTAACAAATTTTTGCAATGATTTAAATGAGAGAATATTATATTTATAGTAGAAAATTTTGTTTGGTGTTATTTTATAATTAAAATTAGAAATTTACGCATATAATTAATATAAACCTCTAATTCTAATAAAAAACATTATAAATTGAAATACTACTTAAATTTTAAATGTAATTTAGTAGAATGAAAAAAAAATATTATTTTGCTTAAAAAAATGTTTGTATGACAGATATGTAGTTAGAACGGGCCGTTCCGAATTCAGAACGACCTGTTCTGGTTTAACTTGTTATTTGGTATTTTTGAAACTGGAACGGGCCGTTCTGGTTTATTCTTTCTGTGTTATTTTTTCATCTGGAACGGCCCGTGCCAAATATAGAACGGCCCGTTCTGATTCAACTTCTCATGTCTTTTTTTGAATATGGAACGGGCCGTTCTGGTCCATTTGTATGTGTTATTTTTTTCATCGAGAACGACCTGTTCTGATTTTAGAACGGCCCGTTCTAAAGGTGAACATTGACGTGCGACAGTTCGAATTTTTGGTTAATTTTTTTAAAAAAAATTAATTCAATAAAAAATTCAAAAATTTAGAACTTGTGTGATAGGGTGTATTGTAACCATTAGGCTTAGATACATCCAATAATAATTTTTCATGGTGCATTTATACACCACTTGTCAAAGTGGTCCTTTAGAGAATTTACCGGAAAGTAAAGGAAGGAGTTTATTGGGTTTGAAGTTGGGCCTCGAGAGTGATTTTATTGTTTGAATGAGTCAAACGTTGACTGGCGTATGAAAGATATTTTTGGTTTGGGCGTAACGAAGGGACTGTGTCACTATCTGCGTCACTCAAAATTTATCATCAAACCCTAACTTTTCATTCTTCCTCAATTTCCCTATTTCCATTTCTTTACAATCTTTTTTCTCAATTTAATTCCGCATACTTTATTTTAATCCTCCTCCATATCTTCCACAATTTACTCTCCTCATAAGATACAATTCACACAAAACTTCACCAATCACACTTTACATCATTATATTAATTACACAAAGTCATAAACGAACCCTTTTCATGTTTCAAAAAAAATAATTTATATTTTACATGCTAACTAACTTTCTCTTTAATTCCTTATTTTCAAATTGCCAATAACATCTAATGTAATTTACCCTCTGTCAAAATTATTACATCAAATGGCCATGTTTCTAGCTATTATTCATGCGCTATTTTTTTTTTAAAAATAAGTGACACGTGCCATTAACTAAATAATTTGGATACAGGAATTTCATGACATTTACGTTAAATTAACAGAGAGTAAAAATAAAATAAAAGATTGTTGAAATGAATAAATTTTGAGAAATAATTGTTGTTATTATTTTATTTTTTTTACACAAACCAAAATGTTAATATGTGACTAGATTTGAGCGGTTATTTTTTGACTTGAATTTTTGAAACCAATGAATTCCAAGCTGCATCTTTTTTGGATCCGTTGTTGACTAATCATAACATTGATATAGTCAAGTGAGGGTTCTCAGATTGATGAGAGATTTAGTGGAGGGGTTGATATTTGGATTTGCATAAAAGATTTTATCAGTTGAAGTGAGACTGAGCGAGATAGTGAAGACATGGGACGAAGTAGAGCAATAATAGAGAAGAAGAAGCAGTGAAGAGAAGAAGCAAGGTTTGTTTGGTGGTTTGTGATGTACCAAGTCAAGCACACTAAACATAGCCTTCATAACTTAAATTTGGTTTTTTCTTTCTTTGAATTGGGTCATGTGGTACCTTTCCACCCTCCTTTTCACTGCTTACTTTTAATTAAACATTGTGCAAGAGGCGTACAAAAATAATTTAATTTAATTTATTATTTAATATGGGTGGCCCCATCCTGGTTGTACGCGCTTATCCAAAAGATCCATTGACTTGCATCTGATATATGGTTGACGCTCCCCACAAATTATTCATTCATCCAACATCAACATGTATCAACAAGCTCCTTCAGATCCACCCAAGTCACTCGCCACCGGTTTTCCGGTCACCTACAACAGCACTACCACAACCTACTCCTCCTCCACCACCGACACTTCCTATGCTCCACCGCCACCTCCCCAACCTAAACCTATTGTTCAATGGTCCACCGGTCTCTGTGACTGCTGTTCCGATCGTGCAAACTGTAAGACGTACTATTGTTCAATCATGCTCATGCTCATGCTCATGCTCATGCCCATGCCCATCTTTTCAGGTTGCATTACTTGCTGGTGCCCATGTGTTACCTTTGGCCGAGTTACGGAAATTGTTGACAAGGGATCCACATGTAACAATTTCATTTTCCCACTTTTCATTATTACTTATATACTTAACTCATATATGAATATGATGAGAAGCTGAATTGCATTTGCAGCATGTGGTGCTAGTGGGGCTCTGTATACGCTCATTTGCTGTGTCATTGGCTGTGCTTGCCTATACTCTTGCTTCTACCGCTCCAAGATGAGACGACAGTATGGTTTGAAAGGAAATGCTTGTACAGATTGCTTGCTTCATTGCTGCTGCGAGTACTGTGTTCTCTGTCAAGAATATCGTGAGCTTCAGAACCGTGGATTTGACATGATTATTGGTATCATATCAACCTTCTTTTCTTCAACCTACACATCACAACATCCTTTCTCTTTTTATTACCCTCTCTTCCTTTCTTCCTTAATTAATACTACCTACTAACATACCATAAGTAGTTCATATGATTATTTTTAATTATTTTTTATCATCTTTAATGTCTTCATAGGATTTTAATTAATTAACAATTACTACTTCCTTTCCTTGTTTAATTTAATTTAGTTTGAACTTGGTATCGTTAGGGTGGCATGGAAATGTTGAGCAACGAAGTCGGGGAGTAGCCATGACTGCTGCAGCCACAGCAGCTCCTTCAGTCGAACAGGGCATGACCCGTTGAAGTCATCCAGGATTCATATATGTTTAATGTATCAAACTCTTACATACAATTCTGCAACTACCACAATCTACTATGCTTGTATTAGACCTTAAGGATAATAATGTCTCAACAATCAGACATTAATTCCTCTTCTTTTTTTTTCCTTTTCATTTTAAATTTGTTATAAAGATATCATCAACATTTTATAATTCTGCTTAATCCTTTCTAAGTACCGCCATCTAAAATGAAACAAATTTATAATTAAACTAATCAAACTAGCTTATAGAATTGCTTGCTAACACACAGTACAAGTTGTTTCTTTATTTTGTGGGAAAATTCCCACAAGATATAATAGAAGACAATTACAATGTTTTTGACTATTCAGATTTTTATTCTAATTATCACTCATTTTATTCACATGTACTGTAACAAAATTTCTATATATAACATTTTAAAATCAATTACGATTACTATTTTTAGTGAGAAAATATAATTTGTTTCTAAAGTAAGCATCAATCCTCACTATGAAACTGAAAGTTCAATCATGTTCTAAACATGTGTAACGGAAATAAAAAGATCTACTTTATGCTAAAATCACACATGATAATTAATAGGATATTTATGAAAGCAAATAAAGTTTACCCAGTTGAAGTCTGAAATTTAAAAAATTTCTTTCAAAACTATGAAGGTCTCACGTGTATCCACACCGAGATTAATCTTTGTTTGTCAACCTCTTGACTGAGCAACTTTTCAGCATAGGATATAAGAGAGAAAAAGAACTAATTTTCTTATGGTTTTTCTGTGTTTGTTTCTCCACAATGGAGTTGTATATTTATAAGTATGTAAACATATCTATTCACTTAGCAACAACTTCCATATCCCATCTTCTAAAAAATAGGAATTATCAAATATCTAAAAGAAATTAGTTTTTATCTTTTCTTATCAAAACCACTTTTGACTAGGTCAAAATTCAAATTGAATCTTTCAATTTAAAATTGAAAAACTGACGTGCTTTTCTATCTTAATAGAAACAAATACTATTTATATTTTGATGCTAGTAAAAAAAATAATATTTTATTTATAAGAAAAATAATTATTTGATAAAATCAAATTCTTTAATTTAATTATCAAATAATAAATTTTCTTGAGCAAAGATTAGAACACTCGTTTAGTGTGTGACCCTGTAGGTTCAAAACTAAACCGGTAGTAAATTAACTACATTAATTTACTAATCAAGGTTGGCGTCTAGCAACACTCCTTAACGTCCGGATAGTATGAAATAATATTTTCAAGAACCTTTAGAAGATTAACATAAAATTTCCTTCCATCATTTTACAGCTCTAAATTAACTTTAGAATATGGTTTAATTATCAAATTCTAATCAGTTAACATATAATGAAAAATACAAGAAAAACCCCTTTTTCTTTATTATTTCAATTGCCTTGGCCAAGGTCTTTATTTTCATTATAAAGCTCAAACTCATTACCAAGAGTCGATGAATCCCTTCTTGATTAATCATTTAATTCTACAAGAATTTAATTACACCCAATAATCATTCAACTAACACCTTTAGGTATTAGGTGTCCGAAATCAAAGTATAATAAATATCTTGTTAATTATTATGATAATCTCAAGTCTAAGGAAATTATATATTTCTTCTTAAAAATTTCCTATTGACAAAATTTTAAGGTAATACATAACCATTAGGAATTCTCCTTTATAGAGTCTGTTCAATAGTCATATCCCTATATGCACTATTTATATGAGTAATTTAATAAATGAGATCTATTAGTCTCTATCCAATAAAGACTATTACACATATATTGATCTATGTGGATTAATGATGTCCTATCCTCAATAATCCTACGATCAAGAACAATTTAGATTAAAATTAAAAAGGACTTATTTTTCTCATTATTATAATCTCTATTATAAAAAAAGAAGTCTTTAATTTTAATCAAGGACTTTGTCATATTAATTATTTCTCATAATCAATAAACATAAAAATAAAGTACAATCTTATTAATGCATATAAGATAAATTGGATCTTGGGCATACATCTTATTCCCAACAGAAACACCGTAAGTTTTTAGGGTATCCAATAATCTTATGAAACTTAATTATCGTGGAACAACAACCGATGATGTATGACTAAAATCAACAATAAAATTCTAAACAAAAATATACTAGTTATAAACAAGGAAAATGTTTTGTTGGAAATAAGAACACTTGTGTCATAATTGTTATTGTTGTATAAGGAGTCCTTTAAGAAAAATCACCATTGATTTAAATTTAAAGCAACATCAATTTCTTGTCTTGTACATCCTCTGGATCTATTCTAATGAATTGGTTTGACATGTGCTTTTTTGTCAATTACACATTTTGGAGCGTACGAGAGTTGTGATAGTTTACAAATCTTAAAATTTAATAAACTTGAAATAGTATTAAAAAGGAACATACAAATATTTTTTTTATCAAAATAATTACTGAACTATGATTGTTCATTGCATTCCTAGATACACAAGAATAAAAGACAACTCCTTTTTAGTTTGAAAGATAAAAAATAATATTAACCCTCATTTTTCATAATGATAGGAAAATTTAGTCTTCATCAAAATTTTCATTTTAAATAAACAAAATAAATCTTTATTATTATTATTATTATTATTTTAAATAGTTCAATTCCAATCACTTTAAAGATTTTTAATAGAATTATAAATAAAAAGTCAAATTCCAAGTCAAGTACTAACTAATATAAATGAAGAGAGATAATAACTATATCATCTTTATATAGCAATTTTTTTTTAAAGATGAGATAAATATTTTAAAAAAATTATTAATTATTTATTCAATTAATTAGAGAGAGTCATCATCGTGAAGTGTTAATATATTTCCTATTCATAAATAAATTTTAAATCCAAAATATAATTTTATAGACATTTTTATTGTAAGAGTTTTTTTTCTTTCTAAATAAATGTTGATATCAACTCTATTTTTTAATATATGTTTTTCATCTCGTAGTGACCGAATTGGGACAAGGAAAAAGCAGAGCATATAATACGTTTGCATTCTTTTGCCGTATTAAAAAGTAAATAAAACAGAACACAAAAATTAAAATAAACATTTTATTTCCATCAATGTCTCGGTGGAATAAGCTGTTGCACGTTAAACATTCGTATCAACAAGGTTGAACATAATAATAGATAACTGATAACTAGTAATGTAATGCACATGATGGAATTTTATTTATTTAATAAAATTTATAAAATCAAATATTATATATAGTTATATTATAATTAAAGCTTATAATGAATGAATATTTTTAATTATATATATTATATTTTTATTTCATGATAAATAATTTATATTATGATACAAAATTATTTTTAACTATTAATATTTTTTAAAAAGTGTTAAAATTTAATTTAGAAATAAAACAGAGAATAATAATTTAAAATGAGATAAAAAAATATTATAAAATGTTATTTTTAAAGAAAAATGATTAAAAATTTTCTAGTTCAAAACACTATAAATTAAAATGAATTTAAAATTGAAATATATTGTTTTCACCAGTAAATCAAAAAGATATATTGTTAAAGGTGAGAAATTAAAAAAAAAAAAAGTTTAAAATGTTATTGTTGAAAAATGGCACCCAAAAATAGTCTCCAACGAAATAACTATTCATATATTGGGGGAATTAGGTGACTTAACAATAGTTTAAAGTACATATAAAAAAATGTATTATTCTCAAAATATTTGCATAATGGTTTTTATTATAACCTTTTGTTTTATTTTATTTTTTTCATTTCTTACACCGCTTATTGCTTTACATTATTCTTTCTTTTCTATTTTTTTTTCAGGACAAATGAGAGCATATATTATAATGCGTTGGCATTCTGTTGAGGTGTTGCCGTATTAAAAAGAAAATAAAACAGAGCACAAAGTTTTAATTCCAGCTTGTGTCGGTCTAATATGCTATCGTTAAACCAATCATACCAATATGCATGGTTGAACATACATTGAAGGCAATTTCTCATACCAGAGTTTTATTATGAAAGATAACCTCATTTAGGTTATATCTACGGGTGAAAAGGATTGATGACACACAAAAAACCATTTGTTGCTCAAATTCTACGCTTATAAATTGTTGGACCATCCTATCCTATCCAATTAATCCATAACCCCTTACTAAGTTGTGTGCTTCTTTTGTGATATAGTTATGTCTGCACCAAAGCCCAAAGCCCAGGCCCAGGTTGATTGGTCCACTGGCCTCTGTGATTGCTTCTCCAACTTCGGAAACTGTAAGCTAGGCAGCCCCCCATTTTCACACAATAATGTTGATTATTGTTTACATAGATATATCATGCATTTTGTTTCAGGTTGCTTGACATTGTGGTGTCCATGTGTGACGTTTGGGCGAATTGCAAACGTTGTTGACAAGGGATCAACGAGTAAGAAACTAACCAAGTTTAATATATATATATATATGATTTGATGAAAATGAAAGTAGTAATTAAGTAATCGATGCAAATTGGGGTTTGTTTTGTTTTGCAGCTTGTGGTGGTAGTGGGACACTTTATACGGTGGTTTGTTGTTTACTAGGTTGTGGTTGGATATACTCATGTTTGTATCGGTCCAAGATGAGACGAGAGTACATGTTGAAGGACAGTCCTTGCTGCGATTGCTTGGTTCATTGCTGTTGTGAACCATGCGCCTTGTGCCAAGAATTTCGTGAGCTTGAAAACCGTGGTTTTGACATGGCCATTGGTAAGTTTACGAGATATTTAATTCAATACTTATGGAGATGATCCACTTCCTTCCTTCCTTCTGTTGAATATATCTATGACTGTTTAATTAGGGTGGCATGGAAATGTTGAAAAAGGGAATGGAGGAGTGCCCAAGGCTCCCGCAGTTCAACCCATGACTCGTTGAGGACCACGCCTACGATGCTTGCATCAGATCTCATCAACATATATCATATACTAATATATACTATGATTCAAGAATGTCTTATTACCACCGTTTTGTTCATTTATAGTTGTGGTTGTGGTTCTTGTTACTTGTATTTCTATAATGTTTGTGTAATTTCCATATGTGTGCATTTCCCTATATCTTTGTATTAAAGATATGCTAATGACATGTAACAATCTTATTGCTAATATAATTGATGTTGGTGTTCAATTAAAATTGAGATGATAATTTAAAAATATAAGTAATATTATAACTTTATAGTCTAAGTTTTATCAATTAATTTATTAAGTTACTTAATTATTTGTCGATCTTATTATTCTAAATCCTTTTAGGCTTATAATTGATCTATCTTTTGAGTTTGTAATTGATCAATTAAGTTCTTGAACTTGGACCCTCATACTATAAGATAATATGCATAATATATTCTTATTGATCTCGATTCAATTGATCATGTCTTGTTATTAAAAGTTATTTGAATTTGTCATAAAGAAATGATCGACCAACTTATTAAGTTAATTGTCATGATTTAATTGAAACATCAAATAACGAACATAAATCGCTACTTGATAAGATGAGTGTATCCGAAATACATAGGACCTAGGAATCATGAATATAATAAAAAAAACATTCAACTCATGATAAAAATATAGGCCAAAAACTTATGCTCACAAAAAATAAACTACTAGGTTAAAAAGAAAGAGACACATCCAAAAAAAATAAGAATTCATTTTAAAACAAAATATATTTAGATATAATTAAAAATATGATATTTACATTTCTTAAGAAAAAAATATAATTAATTCAAATAAAAATAATAATAGTCGCATACAAAATCATTATTTTTTTAAAATAAAACTTGTTATTGATAATTGATCACACACTTCTTCAAATTTTATAGTTAACATTTTTTAAAATAAATTATTTATTTGATTCCTCAAATATTAAATTATAATTAACATTAAGTATATCATTGAATATCCACAAGTTTATATTATGAATCGATATACTTATTAACGTTTTAAAAATAATCTAAAAAGTTTAAGCACTACTTATATAAATAAAATTATAAAAATAATAAATTAATTAAATTTCACTATATCGTAATGTTACATCAACTTCAAAATTAAAGCACATAAAAATTTGTCCTTCAAAAATTAAAATAATAAGCTAAGACAAATAAGGTAAGTGTTCTTACCTGAGATTGGTCTAGCGACAACCTCTCTGATGAGATTGGTGAGTCTCCTCTGCTTCGCAAGTTGGTCACTACAAGGTGGGACTCGTACCTACAAAAGAGATGCAAAAGAGATTCTGATACTTAAATTAGTCTTTGATAGCGTAGATGTCTTATATATATATATAACATGCGTACCTTGGTGATTTAAGGGTTATCTTTATTTACCAACACATTGGTGATTCTAGAGTTTCATGGTAATTGCGGTGTGGTGGTAATAATGGTAGTTGGTAAATGATGTGGCCTTTACGGGCCAATGTAATATTCTAATGTTCTTGTTCCTTGATCGAGCTTAGCAACTCGACAATGATGAGTTCATGCTTGACTAGGTTGGTAAACTCTTGACCGAGCTTGGTAACTTAGCTAGGGCGAGTTCACTACTTGGTTAGGCTGGTACACTGATAAGTGTCTAATTATGCTTGATTTAACAACCATTTGAGACACTTATCTAGCACATTTTGTGTACATATCAACATTATTTTGATCTATATATGCTTAGAATCAAAGAGGTATTTTGATTGTGCAAGTACATGGAATGATGAAGCTTTTGATCCATTTTGGTGTGCATTTTGTAGGTTTTGGAACCTGGAGAAGACTGGCTCAGCCATTCTAAAGCGCCCAGCGGATTAGCTTGTGCTGGAGAAGGAGTGCTCTCTGCCTCAAATCCGCTCAGCCACTCAAATCCGCTCAGCGGATTTCATCCAGGAACAAGGGGTGCTCTCTGCCTCTAAAGCGCTCAGCGGATCTAAGGCGCTCAGCCATTGAGATTTCTTCAGGGTGAAGAATTCCCAATCCGCTCAGCCGTTCCAAGGCGCTGAGCGGATTTATCTTTTTAGTGTTACCCTGTTTTCATATATATTAAAAGGAGGAGAGAGAAAAGGGGGAATGAGGCTGCACGAAAGAAAAGAAACAGAGGGGGGAGAGAAACAGAGTGCTCTGGAGCTCGTGGGAACGCGAATCTTCAAGGGATCTTCTTCTTCTTCTACCTCTCAACCTGGGTTTTGGTGATTTCTTGTAATATGGAGAGCTAATCTCCAGGGTTGGGATAGATGTAATCATCAAACTCCTATGTATTCTCTTTGATTCATATATATATATCATCCATTACTTGATGTTAGTGATTTCTTCCTGTTCTTAATGCTTTGATAAACTGATCACTTATCCATGCTTTTGGGGTTTGGGATTCGGTCGGAAGACGTTTTGCAAGCCTAGACTTGGAACGAATCACCTATTAGTTTTGAGATCCAGGAATGGTCTTGAGATTAATAGTTATTTCAAGTTCTAGTTCTTAA